TTTTTTTTTTTTTTTTTTTTTTTTGAGGCGGAGTCTCGCTCTGTCGCCCAGGCTGGAGTGCAGTGGCCGGATCTCAGCTCACTGCAAGCTCCGCCCCCCGGGTTCCCGCCATTCTCCTGCCTCAGCCTCCCGAGTAGCTGGGACCACAGGCGCCGCCACCACGCCCGGCTAGATTTTTTTGTATTTTTTAGTAGAGACGGGGTTTCACCATGTTCGCCAGGATGGTCTCGATCTCTTGACCTCGTGATCCGCCCGTCTCGGCCTCCCAAAGTGCTGGGATTACAGGCTTGAGCCACCGCGCCCGGCCAGGATGCAGGTCTTTCAGTGTTAAAACCATACAGTTGGTCCCAGTTTTCTAGCCTATTTCTAGTGCATGATCACTGTACCTCTCCTCTGAAAACTATTCTGTCCACCATTCGGGTAGGTCCTGGCAGCTGTTTGTACTGTGTTACCCTGCCCACCTAACTACATTTGAGATTAGGGTGGGATCTTGACCCATTCCTGACCGATTTGTTTATATTGAGAAATTGAACTGAAAACAAGAAGCTCAGAATCTAGTCGCATAGCTCTATAGTGAAATTTCACACACTTCTGTCATTGAGGTCTCTAAAACAAAGACAATTTTTGATTTTTGGAAGCTGTTTATCTTTTAATTCTCTGAGGCATCCCAATCTCTTAAGGAGTTCTCTCCATCTGACATTCTTGCTTAAATTAAATGGATATTTTTGTTATCAGAAATTTGACTAAGCCAACTATCCAGGTGTATTTCTAAGTCAAGACAAACAGCTCTGGTTCTTTATTTAGAAATGTTCCTGCAATATTCCTTAAGCTTAATGGAAATCTCTCTGGAATAGCCGGCTCCCTGGTTAGAGTACCGTATTTTTATATTCAGTGGACCTGTCAACCCACTTCCTTTCCTTCCTTACTCCCTGCTTTCCTTCACTCCCTTTTTTTTTTTTTTTTTTTTTGACAGGGTCTCACTCTGTCACCCAGGCTAGAGTGCAATGGCATGATCACGGCTCACTGCAGCCTTGACCTCCCTGGGCTTCCAAGTGGCAGGGACTACAGCTGCATACCACCTGGCTAATTTTTGTATTTTTTTGTAGAGATGGGGTTTCACCATGTTGCCCAGGCTGGTCTCGAACTCCTGGGCTTCAGCAATCCACCCTCCTTGGCCTCCTAAATTGCTGGGATTAGAGGTATGAGTCACCATGCCTGGCTTTACCCAGTATATTTCTAATTGTAGATAAATAAATTTGCATTCTGGTTCACTTTGGTAATTTTTTGTGTTTTTTTGTTTTGTTTGAGTCAAAGAGTTTCACTATGCTGTCCAGATTAGTCTCAAGCTCCTGGGCTCAAGTAATGCTATTGCCTAAGCCTCTGGAGTAGCTAGGACTACAGGTATGCCACCACGACCAGTTGGTATCATTTTTTTCTAAAAATTATCACATTTGAAAGTGTATGGATTTTGTTAGAACTCATCTGACACATAACCCTACCCTCTTTCCAATGAGCATGTTAGTTCCATAATGGTATTCAGTTAGAGCTTGCCTATGAATACATGAAAATTCCACAAGTCATTCTTCAACTGATTTGTTGCAAATTCTGCTGCCTTTCTTAATCCTTCGCATTTGACCATCATTAAGTTTCTTGGAGACGTTTCCTGACTTTGGAACTACCATCGAGCATACTTGGCTATCCCAAGGTGTGGTCTTTTCTGTTTCAGCTCTGGTTATTTCATTTCACAAGCCTCAAGCTTTTCAGACTTATCAGTATGCCATACCTAAAGTAGCCTGTGTATCTTAGTAACCTTCCCACTTCCACTGTCACTCAAGTAAAACCATGCTGTTACATACATCAGCTTGTCAATTAATTCCTCTTTTCCTGTGGCTTTTTCACCAAAGCTGAACATATCCCAACTTCTTTCTAGGCCACTTCATTGCTCCTGGAGTTTGTGCATCAGAATCACCTGAGTGACCTTCTTAAGTAAAACAAAAACCAGATCCTGGGCTACCCTACAGCTGGACCTTTGCAATCAGACAAATTAGGCACCTTTTAGAAAGCTGTGGTTTTAAAAGGCTCTCCAGTTGATTCTGATACATTATTGGCCTATTTATTTCCATCAGCAGGGCTGAGCCTGGGACCTTAAGATTGGCATCTTCCCCCAGGTCTCCAAGACTTTCCACTCCTTCTCACTTTGGAAACTTAGAATCTCTGGGAACCTGAAGTAAAATAAACTTTTTTTCCTGACCATTCTTTTGTTCGTCACAAACATATGTACACCTACTAGGTGCTAGGTAATGCAATTACAATGCAAATTGCATTAGACACTGCCTATCCCATTACTTGAAAAAAAAAAAACAAAAACAACAAAAAACCAAAAACACTGCTACTTAAGATTAAGCATGTATTTATTTTAGTTCAGTTAAAACAAACATACATTGTTTCATTGAAACGGTGTAGCACTCTTTGCCAACAAGCCATACTAGAATTGTTGGTCTCTAACAGTACAGTAGGGATATTTACACTATATACACAAAGTTAATACACCCAGGTTCTCAAAGGTCTTCCATTACACTAGATCACACTTTATTTCATTACACTAGATCACATTTTGATTACTGCATTTTGAAAATTTATACCTTATTTAAATTTTAAATAAGAGATCTGAATTTGCACCAAGATTTCATGAAAAAATTTAATGTTGAGTTTATTGCAAATACAATTTAAACACTTTAGTGTTTGTACACAATTTTGTCAATTTTTCAATATTCAATTTTCTGTACAGGTACTTTTGGGACAATTCTTATAGTTACATAATATGAATTCATCAAAATGCAGTTAAGAAACTTATAGGAATATATACACTTGAACCCAAGACCCAAACCTGACATTATATACAACCTATTTACAAATACATATGGACAGACAATATATGTACATAGATTATCATAAATATTGAAAAATAGGTTAGCTTTAATGGATTAATGTTGTTCTATAAATAACATTACAGTTATAACTGAAACATCCACGGAAGACAGTAATGCAAAATGAGGTGACAAGACAGTGGTTTTAATACTGAAGACTGCTCATTAATGGGAATTCATTGTTTAGGAACCTCAAGGCAGACAAGATAGCTCCAAGAGAATCATGCATTGCAATTTTCCCTAGGCAGTTGATTTTGAACCTCAAATAACCAGATGATTGGAGGAGCTTCCTCACATTAATTTGTTGTAAAGAAAAGAATTTTTTTTTCCATTCCTTCCTGGTTGCCACAGTATCTTCTGTAGAAACAACTCTTGGTATTCCCTGGCAGGTCTTAGATACAAAGTCAGCAACTTATTCCAGGAGCTCATGCAAATGTGCCAATTCTTGGTCTCAACTAGAGGTGAGGTTCTGCATTCGAATGGAGTGTCTAAAGCCCAATTAAATGAAAGCAGTGCTGTAGAATCTGTCTTCCCACTGCCTATTTGTAGATGGTCCCCAATTATTTTATCTTCATAGGAACAGACAAAAGTGGACCAATGGTTTCACCCAATGTAGCACTACAAGACGTCTTCCAGTTCCATAAGGGTCCTTACACATGTTTCTTGTTTGTTAATTTAGTCACATATAATACAAGAATGCGTAACAAAAACCACGTCTGCCACATTTCTGGCCCTTGCCCCAAACTCAACATTTTTAGTTCAAGGGCAAACCTTAGAGCCAGATGACCAATTGACAATTCCATTATTTGCTTCCCTCAACCACTTAATGGAATTATGTATATTAGATTTTAGACATTATGCCTGATGAGCAAAGTACCACGTTATTTTAATAATATATTCACCATACACTGTGACATATGATAAATGTGCTCTTAAAGCCAAGTTTCAAAGTAATTATTTTCACTTCTAACCAGGATTGAAATGGAAGGGTTGACATGCAGTTGGACCAAAACGACTAACACTCAGTTTGCACTGTTTTCCCTAGCTAACCATTTGTTGGATGTAAACAAGTAATTCTACGTTGTACAAGAATGAGATGACAGTCCAGTGCAAATGAGTTTTTATAAAGCTTACTGCATGAGAAACCCAGTGGCCTACACAAAGAGAACTTATATCTTACCAAACATAGGTGTACCCTGTGGATTAGACCTCTACTGTAGACAAAACATGAACACAACTAAGCCATACATTGTCAAGTAATTCACACTTCCAGTAGGTGAGCATTTTGAAAAAGTGTACTCTCTGGACACAATAATTTTGGCTATTGCCATTAAATGCCCATTTTCCACTGCTGGAAGCAATGTCAAAAAAGGGCTGGCCCAAAAAAAATACCCAGAGCTGTCAATACAACACTGGAGACAGATGCAACTGAATAAACCCTGTTTTACCCAATTGCACTATTTGGTACCTCAAAATTAGTTATTTTATTTCCTACAGAAATATCTGTATTATCTTCCATTCTAATAAGCTGAAGACACAAACATTTCAGTCTGAATGAACCAAATTGTTTGGGGACAGAGAAGAAAAGTGATGAACAGAATTCATCTGATTTGGTATAGCAATAATCAATCAATCATCTTTTAAGTAATGGTGACATTTAAATGGAAAAAAACTACGCTCCTAATTCATGGTACAATTTTTCATTACATCATTTTCTCTAAAAATTATTTTGGGTAAAAAAGTATTTGGCTTATTATGCCTACAAAAAGGCAAATCATTTCATTATACTAATATTCATTTTTAAATACCAATGAAATTATTTTATGGAATTTATTGATAACTGCTTCTGAATAAAGTTCAAAAAAAGCAATTTTTTAAAAGTAAAAGAGTGCTTCTGAGGTCTTTAAGTATTTTTGGTACAAAAAATAATAGTGTTTTTCTCAATGGTTATTCAATACTTTGCTGTAAATTAAGAAGAATTATTTCTCACATCGAATGGTTCCATTAGGCACATTCAAGTAAAATCATAAAATATCCAAGTTAAACAATGACACAGCCAAGCATGTGGCTTGATAAAAGTTAAGAGTTCGTCCATTCTCTGGAATGGAATAAAATTGTCACTTCCCTTAACCCGAGACTCGTGGTTTTGTTGTTCATATCCATTTCTAACATACAGATAAGTTTCTTTAAAAAAAAAAAAAAAAAAAGTTCACTTATTCTGCACTCAGAAGAACCAGCGAGGAATCTGCACTTCAAAAGGAAGTGAAACTGAAAATATTAGGTGAAATTTCATAGTAGTTGAGTTTACTCAACACTGGCATCAGATGCACTGAGTTTGAGTTTGAGTGGTGCCAATTAATGACCACCTCCAGGTGCATTGTGTACCCAATCCAAAACAATCAAGGCCATGCTTCCGGTCATCACCAGTATGCCACTTAACAGGAAGAACAAAGCCTGCAATGAGCATAGAGAAAATTGATCAGTAAGTAATAAAACATATATGCTAAACATTTCTTTTTCTACTTTTTGAAATGTGCTTTAATTACTAAAGTTTATCTACTGCATCATGTTCTACAGAATGAGTATTTAACTTGCTAAATATAAACTCCTAAGTGATCAGTAAGTTATCTGCAGTACAAAATAACTACCTTTGAGGCCTTCTGAACTTTTTCACTTTTTCATTCCTTTGTCTCAAGTGAAAAGGGAATTTTCTTGCTAAACAAACTGCTTCATATAGAGCTGGACTGGATTTTTTGCAATTTTTTAGAGCAAAAGTAAAGTCACAAAATCAAACCCAAAACATCCTAAAATGCAGCAAAAGTCAAAGCCAGAGGTCTTTCCAGGAAATACTAATTCCTAAATCCTACCCTTCAATACTGCCACTATGTAATTTAGAGTAAAACAAGATGACAGTTGTTGGTTTATAAACAATTCTAGTACTTTAATCACAGCAGAATGAAGGTGGAAAATAATGACTAAAAAGCAGTCTTTTTCCTAAATACCACCCACCAGGATTCTGGTACTAGGAACCACATCATTTGTGGTTAGCACATCATTCTCTGTCACCAGCTGGTACTACATTTTAGAGTAGGTACATAATAGTAAACACTATGGAGAGATGGCCTCCCTGAGAGCTTCACTCTGAAGATGGTCAGTCTCATTCAACTAAACGCCCTTCCTTCTCTTTTATATATTCAATGCCCATTTAAGTCCCTGTCACACAGTAGGCAGTCCAATGAAAACTGGTTGAACAAATGTTGAAAGCTTAGTATCTCACACTAGTCTTCATCCCTATTCCTATCTCCAAAGTATCTAATAACTTTATTGCAATTAACTTAAGTATTTATTAGATGGCAAACTATCTTTCCCCTTCCCTCTGCAATCTTCCATCTGTGAAGTATACCATTACAGAAATGTTTACTGGAAACTTCAAAGTGAAACCACAACAAATAACAGCTACGAGAATAAAATTAAAATCAGAGAAATTTATATTACTACTGTTTCTATGGTGATAATCTTTCACTCACCCCAATCTTTTGTACAGATTTCATAGGTTCTTTCTTCACCAACTTGATATAGAAGGCAGAAGGAAGAATAAAAATTAACATAGCAGCTGCAGATGCACCTGTAAAAGAACATTTGTTTCTTGAGGATTCAATGAACCACTTGTCATTCATTCTTTAAATCTTAAAATCCCTGATGTTTGAATCAACTTTGATACTTTCTAAAACTTACCAATAAAACCAAAGATATCCCTAATAGTTGGGACAAAGATGACAAGTAAATTGGTAAATGCCAAGATAGACACTGTAATGAGACTATGACGCCACCAACTGAAATCTTTTGATGCACACAACAAGTGAGTTACAGAACTCCGGATCTGCAAAAATAAATAAATAAATAAAATGTATTTTAAAAATAATAGCAATATAAAATTTAAAAATCCAGCTTCAATGAATGAAAGGAATGCCCAAGTAACAAGGAATCTATCCAAAATAGTAACTATTTCTAAATAAAACTGTGCCTCTTTCTCTGCTGTTTCCTGAACATCTGAACACTTAAAAGATCATTTTATATCTTATGGTGAAACAAAAGTCCCCAGGATATTTTGAAAATATACACTGTATTTTTTAAAAGTCCCTTCAAAACCACCACCAACTTAGTATTGTTCTACTGGTGTTTCTCTTCTTCCAGAAGATGAAAATCTCACAAATATTCACATGTTTAAAAACTCATTCCTACTAAAAGCAGAGCAAGTGATTACTTACTGGGAAAATAACTACTGGTACTGTCAGGGTCACAGCCACTAACACAGCCAGACGGACAATGAGAAGAAGAATATCAGTTCCCAAGATAGTAGAGTAGGTATGAAGCAATTCTGACTCAACATGTTCTATAGGGAAATACCAAAAAAACTTTGAGTGTCTGTTTTCATTGAAGACCAAGTAGAAAATTTAACAGCAAAATGTGCACCAGTTATTTAGCTACTCACAAAACGACTATAAACTAAGAGGCTAATAAGATTAGTTTGGAATTATGGTTAATGCAATTAAAGTAACATTGAAGGAAAATTTTTCTAAATACCACATAGAGATTTAACCACATGACTCCCATTAAAAGCAACAGGAGTTAAACAGCTAAATCTCCTGGCTTGGCTTATAATTTGTGTTTGTGTTATACAGTCTGAAGGTGATGGGAGAGGAGACAGGCAAGATGAACTCAGAGGCTGGCATATCATACAAACATGCCATCAAATGATTAATGATGTTTTCAAACCTGGATTCTAGATATTACTGATTAAATACACTACAGAAAATCCTAAGCTCTAAATATAATTTCTCATCACAAATATGAAATATATTAAGACTATTTTTAAAGTGATGGAACTATACATAGAAAAGTAGCAGTTTCATTTCAATAAGCTTTTTTTTTTTTTTTTTGGTAAAGGAGGCATTATTTACCGTAAAATGTTAGGTATCCAAAGAGGGCGGCAAGCAGATACATGAGAAACATAGCAAAAAATGAAATCTTGGACACATTCATCATTCTTCTACGGCTGCGGCTATATAATTCAAAAGAAAATTCAAATGTGTATTTCAGCAGCAGTTACAGCAGTTGTCTAATATTTTCTCAAACTGATATAAAAACGAAATACTCACTCTTTCAGTTCTTCATAGATGGGAAGAATAGCAGGATGACAGACAAATGAAAAGGTCAGAATTGGCACAGCATAGACAGTCTGAAACAAAACGTAAAAACCTACTTAATCTGATGTAACGAACTCATGCTGTCATATTTCTGCAGCATATATTTTATGTAAACAATCTTAGAATCAAAGCCTAAAAGTTTCCTTTGTGTAATTAGCTTCCATTCCTCTAATCTGTTCATGAAGTATGATCAATATCCTCATTTCTGAATGTGTCAATTATTAGCACCATATGATTATCTCATTTTTCAATCTATTTTAAGATGTAAACCAAAACTTTCCTCACAGTCCTCAATAATTAGCTAATACATGTTTTCTAAGAAGCACCTGTTATCCTCCTCCCTTTACCCTGGGAGTTATTTTTAAATTTCCAGTGAATAGCTTCCCTCTTTTCTTCCCTAAACTCTTCTTTTGAGAAAATAAGCATATTTAGTTACCTGTGAGTTGAAAATAAAATAGTGAGGTCTGCAAGAGTCATTTTCAGTCACGTTATGTGACAAATCAGGTATGAGAGCTGTTGGCTGTGTTAAGGTGGTGTTTATTGTTTCATTAATTATCAAAGCAGCTTCCACAGGACACGGAACCTGAAATTTCTTGCAAATGACCTAAAAATATATTATTTTGCATGTGTTAAACTAAGTGACATGGTACGGTTTACAAAAAATATTTTCTAAAGAAAAATCATACCCACCACAATCAGAAAGAACACCATACACAACAAGGAAAAGCCACTGGTATATCCCAAATATCCTAGAAGGGGGGTGGCAGGAATCAGTATTAGTTTAATGAAACAGATTTAAAGCAAATATATTTTCCCCACTGAATAACTCAATTCTGCTGGGAAGACTTTAGGCACTAACGTATGGCTACAGTACTAAATTTCTAATTCTTATGATACTAAAATATAGAATTATTTAAATATACTTGTCATAACCCAAGCTAATAAAAACTATCATTTGCATTATTTCTTACAAAGTACAATATATAGTGTCAATTAAATATTTTGGCTCCTAAATGTTGCATGCTGTGAGTCCCAAAGATATACCTTTCTAGGGCTTTTTCATTCTGACTAATTTCTATTAAGAGAAAGCCCGACTAACTGGTGAGAGGCTCATTTCAATTCTCTTTTAGAGATGAGTTTGCTCACCTAAATTTCTAAACAGCGACAAAGGAAGAATGAGTATCAGTGACACCAACAGAACCAAATAGTCACCATTCAGATACCACAATCTAAAGAAAACAGAAACAAGGTCAAAACAGTCACAAATATCCTCAGAATAATATATATTTCTTCTAACAGGACTCATTTTATAGAAATCCCATGAAAACAAACACAAAAAAAGACATGTTTGGAAAAAGTTTCCCTTGTTCAAGATAGGAATAACTTTTTAACTTTGTGTGCTAGATGAATATTTACTCAGGTTAGAAGTCGGGTATGAAACAGTGTAACTTTTGTCCCATTACTTGCTCTGGGAAAGCTGCCAGCTGATTCATAACACAAAATGCTTCTCAAAGACTTGATACTAACGCAGGGAACAAAGCTGCTTTGTTAAGCCAGTAATCTTATCTTTAAGCACTTTCAGAAAAATTGTACACCAACTTTGGTACAGCTTTAGCATGTAATTTCTAATGCTGGAAACTAAAAAATTTTAAAACAAGTTTTTTTTCCAGACGTGTTACCAAATATACTTATTAAACATTTCAATGAGGAAAAGTTTTCATAAAATGCATAGGCAAACTGCCTCCTACCCCCCCGAAAAATTGTAAAACTCAGTCCCCCAAACCAGGACTTATTCCAGGTTATCAGAGTATATTGTGACATCTTGAACCACCTTTAACTCCAAAGACAGCCAAAAATATCCCTTTTGAACTTACAGAAAACATTATGTATGTCCCCTAAGCCTTTTCCTTTTTAGGTAAATCATGAATTGCACTCTCTTCTAAATCACTATTTTCAAATTCTAATTGCCTCATAAATTCTGTTCACTTCAGCAGTAAGTACTCTGTAGAACACTAATACTTAAAGATCAGCTTAAAAAATTAAATTTCTAAAGCCACATCTTTGATAACGGCACTTCTCTATTTTGACATAATGAGATGCATGTAGGGTGGGAAGTAAATTACCCTTCCCCATGTTTACTTTAGATAAAAACCTGTGAGTTCACTGGGATGAGTAACTTTGCTAGAAGAAAATGGTTTCTATAGCATGCCCAAGCATTTTCTGGCACAGTATCCCTTATCCAAAATGTTGAGTATCCCTTATCCAAAATGCTTGGGACCAGAAGTGTTTTGGACTTTGGAGTACCTGCATATACATATTTGAAGTATCTTGGAGATGGGACTGTAGTCTAAACACAAAATTCACTTATGTTTCCTATACACCTTCTTAAATCCACAGCCTAAAGGTGATTTTATGCAATATTTTAATTAATTTTGCACACCTGTCACGAGATCAGGTGTGAATTTTCCACTTGTAGCGTCATGTTGGCACTCAAAAAGTTTTGGATTTCAGATTAGGGATGTCCAACCTGTATTTTGCATTGAACAGATTAAGTCTTAAGAATTCCAAACTTACAAAAATAGGACGGATTAATTTTTAATGTAATTCAAAGCTTCAGTCCTCACTTAGGACATATATTAAAAACAGCTATAACTTCTTTAAGTATGAACACAAAGACAGAAAGCAAGTTCTAGAAAACCTGTTTTAGAAATTAAGATATCCAAAATTGTGGGGCTAGCTACTATCTTTTGGCCTTTCATTCTCCAAACTTCGTATCAGTTTACGGGTCAGTTTCAAAAGGAACATTTATGGATAACTAATAATCATTTTGTATACAACTTTGATAAAAATATATCCAACCACTTTTGACTATAATTGTTTCTTATGAGTTACCTTACTTAGCACTTACCCAGTGTTATCTTCAATGTCCATTAATGCCTGGATCACCAAAGGCAACTCATATTTCACTATGAAGAGGTAGCTTGACATAGCTAGAGGAAAACAAAATTATACCATTACAAGTGCAAAATGCGGCACGTGACACCAAAACGCATTATGTCACCACTCTGTGCTATACAATGAGCATAAAGTCTACCCAAATTGTCTTTTGAAAAATTCTTACCTCCAATGTTCTGCATTGTAATTGATCCAGATGCTGCAAGCTTTCCAACTAATCCAAATGCCTTATATCCCAATTGTTCATATAATAAAGACCCTACAATTTGAAGAACACAGAAGCATGAAGCCAAGGATTTTAAAAGAGAAATAAAATCATGATAGGTATACATTGTTTTAGAAAAATCAAGAATGCTATCATACCTCCTTCATTGGCAGTCTTTAAAAGGAGATGAACAGAATACAGGGAAAATATTGACACAAACGTCAAGAGAATTCTGATGAGAGAAGGAAAAGGCACAGGGTTATAAATAAGCATGGCTCTATTTAAAGACAACTCTTTCTGGTTGTTTAAATAACATTATGTGTGAAACTTGTCCTATTTGTGTCAAAATGCCCTGAAGAACTGGCATTTCCTCTCCTGCTAACTGGAGTGTCAACATTGTCTCTTGCCTGGCAGTAAAAACTTACATCATTTCTCAGGTGACAGTTCTACAGCATTGGTTAGGAACAAGGATGTCTACCCACTGAGCCAAACACAGCATGAGACACTGGAAAGCTCAACTTCCCAGTGGAGTTTGAAACTTGTACTTTGATTCTGGCACCACAATAATGAGCTGTATGCTTGCCACCTTTCTGCATTTCAATAGTTCCCTTTATCTGTAAAATATCAGTAATATCCGCTACTAAACCTAGCCTACAAGATTCTTGTGAAATTCAACTGAGACAGGTTCAGGAAAGGTTTTAAAACCACATGGACCGTATACATATAAACAGGAATGAGAGGCCAGGTGCAGTGGCTCATGCCTGTAATCCTAGCACTCTAGGAGGCTGGGGCATGATGACTGCTTGAGGCCAGGAGTTCGAGACCAGCCTTGACAACATAACATAGGGAAAACCCATCTCTACCAAAGGAAAAGAAAAAAAAGCCAGCTGTGGTGGTGTATACCTACAGTCTCAGCTACTCAGGCTGAGGTGGGGGGATCACTTGAGCCCAGTAGTTTGCCACTGCACTCAGCCTGGAGGACAAAATGAAATACTGTCTTTTTTTTAAAGAAAAAAAAAAAAAAAAAAAAGGAAAAGAATGTAAGGGGGAAATGACACTAACATGATGCTAACATTTTAAGAGTGAGGCACTACAAGCTTTACTAACAACTGGGCACAAATCGGAGAACTAACCATTGTAATGACATACTACATTGCACCCCATGGCAAGGAATACAGGCCCAGTATTGTCACAGTTAAAACAATGTCTGTGCTAGAATGAGTAGGGTATCAGCTTGACTGTCTAAGCCTTTCCTCCCTTGACCTTTTCACTTGGATTCAGCAAGAGAAAAAAAAAAATAAGGTAACATAGAGTGACTAAAGGGACCCTAATGTCACCTTATTTTCCTTTAGGGTAAGGGTTCTCCCTCATTCCAGCTTTACTTTTCTTCCACCTAGGAGAGCCCAGAGACACAGACTAATTTTTAAAAGAAATTAAATAACAAAACAGGGAAACTCATAGAAAACCCTGCAAAAGAGAAGAGTTGCGTATTTTTTGATTCCGTGTGAGCAAATTGCATGCAGTACCATGTAAGGTGCTGACAAAGAAACTGATGTCTATTAGTTAAACAGAGGAAGTGGCTTTACACTACCATTCTAAATGCCAGAAGTTTTACAGGGCCTAGTCTGAGGTGACACTATCAACCTCACTTCTAACTGGAGGAAAGATGTTGGTTTAATTAAAAACAAACCAAATTAAGTCCTTCCATGTCTTACACTGAAATGACGAGCGGTGAATAGACTTTGTAACCTTTGAGGTCACTTTCAACCTTGAGATTGATTCTACTTAAAAAGGTTAGCTATAGAGTTGTTGAAGTGGACCGTGGCAGCCATGTGGTTTTTGGCCCATTTAACTCTATACCTCTAAATATAAAGTACATAATGATGAATAAAATCACACTTTAGCAATCTTATTTAGCTATTTAGTAAAATGGTAAATCAATGACATAAGCACCTATTAAAGTATAATTCCAAGAGTACAAGGGTTACATCAGAATTTGACCTTCACTTACGAAACAGAGGTGCCATTTAATCTCCTTTAAATTCTTACTTTAACTACACTGGCTGCACTCTAAAACTGCCTCGTTTTTACACCAAGCGCTAACAAGGATTTCAAATATTCAACAGTGATGCCATTGAGATTCTCCACTAAAAATTCCTGAAATTCTAGGATTCTATGAAAATCGCTGGTCCTTCACCTTAGTAAGGATTCTCTCAAAAAGCCTCATCCTAATTGAAGCAAGCCAGAGTGAATCCTAGCATCTAGTACTCAAAGCCAGGCTTAACCTCAGTGTGGAATTTCACAAAGCAGAGATTTGCAAAGGTCTGCTTTTCTTTTCATGAACGTTCTATCGTGCTGGAGAAAATAACTTGAGTAGAAGGCACCAGTCAGCTAAGTAAAACATATCTGTCACAAAGGGACAATTCCATGCTATATACGTGTGGTTTCCTTATCTGTACAAGGAAGGCATTATGTTACACAATCCTCCACAGAAATTGCCTTAGCCAGGGGTCCACGGGTACTTAAACAAACATCACTGAAAAATACATGCTTAAGACTGCATGTATTTTTGTTTTGTGCTTTTTCCCTGGAAATAAGATCCACATTTTTCCATCATATTCTCCAAGAGTCAGTGATGCAAAAATGGCTAAGAACCACTGCTCTGAAATCTTCTGTACCTGCAAGAGTCTATCCAGGTATTTATGCTGGAAAGCACAGGAGGAATTAAGTCTAACTGTGCAACTGTGGGGGGAACTATTTAAAAACAAGTACTTAGTAAAATACTCATTTTTTTGCCACAGCATGTGGCAATCGAACAGGTCTGACAAAAGCAAACATTAAAAAACCATGTATGGATTGCTTTTCAGGGTCCAGAAAATTATGACTCCTTAGTCTTAAAACAAACATGTTCCAGGCTGGGTAAATACCACCACACCTTGTATGTTTACAGGAATTTTCTTTTCCTTATTCATGTAAGGGGCCATAGGTCCTTAAGAACTGTGTCGATTTACCAAACTGATTTAGAGCTTAATAGGATTTTCAGCTTTTCAAAATTTATACCTACCCTGGATTTAGCCATAGTTCTTTTTCAGTATCTACCATCTGTTACAATTTTGTTTTAACTGTTCCCACTGACTTAGAAGACTTCTGGCTTAATTTGTCAGTTTTAAGGACTGCCCTATTTTTTTCTAGTTGGCTTTCTTGATATTGTGCAGTATATAGCAGAATAAAGAGATTTTTGGGGTTTCTCATACTTTTAATTTTAAGCAAGTAACTTGAGTCAGCTACTGCAACTGTAAACTCAGTTTCCGGAGCCAAAATATGTTTTATCATAGTAACTGCCCTGCATGGCAGACTCACTACTTACACATACTTACATAAAAAGAGCAATTCCAGTATTAGCCATGGCATAAGAAAGCCCAAGGATTCCACTGCCCACAATCGCATTGCTCAGATTAAATACTGACATTCCAAAGGAAGTAGTACCTGGATGCTACATAGAGGGAAAACGATAACCAAACATATAACAATAATTAAATGGAGAAAACCAGGTTTGGGCAAGTTAGATTTGAATTCTAAAAGTAAAACTATTCTTTTACTCCATAAAGCCACTGACAGACAAATTATTATTTTTAACTTACAAATTCTGTTTCATACTTCTTCTTCCCCATATTCGATTCAAGTAAAAAGTTCTGGTTTTCAGGATCTACATCTGCATAATGGCTACAAAAAATATAGACATATATAATTGTAAACTGGATTGAAATATCTATCAGTACACACAAGACTGCTTGAACATAAAATACCCCCCACCAGCATAGTTCTGATACAACACCTTTACTTAAATGTATAAATATTAAATAGGAGTTGACTTTCACACGAGCTATCTTGTCATTACAAGATAATCGGATACTCTTTCAGAGATGACACACATTCTCTAAACGCTATAGCGAATTAAAGCAATGGAAGCAAATTCCTAAGTAACTCCCTGAACCCAACCCATGCAAGCCGTTTTTTCAGAAGTGTCACAACTTCTCCCACCTTTTCAGAGCAGCTTGCTTGGTGGGGTAGGAGTAGTTGAAGTCGCTGTTGGAACTGTAGCTGCTGCTGTCTTCATCCGGGGAAATATTGAACCGTCCCATTTCGGCCTTCTTCATGCTAAGCACTGGGAGGAATCGGATGCAGCTAGCAGCGCTGGGCTCCTTTTGTCCTTGGCGGTGGGTGCACCGGCCGCGAGTCGGCCTGCGAAAGTAGAGGCGGCGCGTCAGGACTGCAGCGCCCGCCCGCCGTGGTCAGGTGACGCCGCCGGGAGGCGCAGCGCGGCTGATTCATCCCAGGCCAGGCGAGTGGAAAAGTACCAGCCGCGCGCGAGGGGCGGGGGCGCGCCAAGGGGCGGAAAAGTACAGACGGCTGAGCCGCGGAGAACAAAGATGATTCTACCGCTGTGCTGCGGCCGCCGAGGCCCCCTACTCCGGCAGATTTCAGTATTTCACCCTCTCTATTGTCCCCAGTCGGAGTGGAGGGGGCGAAGAGGGCTCTGTTTTGCTTTTTCCCAGCCGCTGCAAACGTGCACAGGCACTCAGGGCACACATCCAGCCCTGACCCTGGCTCGTGTGCATGCAACCTAGGCGCATGGCTTCCCGTTTCTAGGATTTGGAACAGCAATGCTGCGTAATCTGTCCTTTACTGCCTGGAGTCCCCACACCGGGAAATGCCTCTGCCGCAGACAGCCTTCCCCAGAAGGAGGCGGAAAGGGCCGACACTACTCCTCTCTCGAGGGGGGCGAACGCCTGGGCCCCGGGAGCTGGGGGTTTATTTACACACGCGCGCGCCAGTGCCCTCAAGCACACCCGTCCACAAGCAGCTGGCCCGCGAGTGCTTCGCCCGCCCAGCCCCTCCTATGTCTGGAAAGCAAACTGATGCAATATCGATCGTCGATTGTCAAATGTTCTCAACTTGTCTTCCCCAATCTTGGCCTCTCCTATAATACATGCCCAAGCCCACCTCCGCCGCCCCCAGATCCCTGGTTCCCTGGACTTAATTTTTTTTTTTTTTATTAAATGCAAATCAGTCACAAGACTTGCCGCAGCAGAGCCGCGGGCCAGGCTGGCTCCCCTCCCCCTAATGGGAAGATGCGGCTCCGCACCGGGCAGGCACGCGGCCCGGGCCCAGCGCCTGCTCTCCTGCCCACGTCGCGGGCGCGACCCCCGCGCGGCGGGCCAGGATGGAAGGCTGGCCAGGCCAACCGACAACGCCCGCCTCGAAAGGAAACGGACCCCGCGGTTGCCTTCCCGCGCGGCCCCTCCCGGAAGCCCCTCCCCCACTCTCGCCCGGGTCCCGCGCCCTCCCCAGACACCCCCCCGCACGCGTTACCTCGGTGGTCTCTGTTCTTGTACCCCGGAAACCTCACGCAGACGTCTTCAGTGGGTTTCTCTCAGTCAAATACAAATCATAAAAAACAAACAAAAAATTTCCCCAAATCCAACAACAGGCAGGAAAAATAATTTTAATAAAAAAGGAAATGACAAATTGCCGCCCCAATCCTCCGGCGTCCGCCGTGTCAAAGGAAAGGCGCGAGTGTGCGGTAACGCGTGGTTGGGCTGCTGCTGCTGATAGCAGTACTGGTAAGGCTTTCACTAGGGCGGCGGCGTCGCGGGGCTCTGGAGCAGCCCTTCGAGCGGCGGGTTATAGCGGCACCCCGGGACGCGTCAGTGGGCGGGGCCGCGGCCGCCCGGGCGCCTTCTCTTTGTGTATCAACACCACCTGGGCCCCACCTCCGACCCGCCCAGCCCGAGGCCCCGCCTCCCTGCGCCTCCCTCTGCGGCCCGTGCCCGCGGCCCAGCCCCGCCCGCGGGCGCCCCCAAGACTCTCCCGCAAAGCCAAAGCCCACTCTCTCCAGCTTCCTAGATAGTCTGGAAGGACCCCCAGATGCTGCCCCTGCCTATCCTTTTCAGCCCGGGTTGGTGCTCAACACATGCGGTTGTCTTTGAGGAGCCATCTCCTTAAAATTTTCTCCTGTCCGAATCACCAGCAGTCCTTGCTTTGGGGGCACATATCAAGGCTTTTCGGGGACACCACCCTCCCACCAAACACTTTCTTGATTGTTATTTTTGTGATTTACAATGAGGTTTTGTCTCACAAACTTGGGCCAAGGCAGCAACGTTGTCCTGATGGTTTGTTGTTCTTTCTTTTCCACCTAGACTTGCTTTCACTCTTCAAAACTAGCCTGAGGTCGGCAAGCAGCTCCTTTTCGGGATGACCTTTTTGTACGGCCATGGAAAACCAGACTAGCGGAAAGGCTACCTTTTGGCCAGCAAGCCAGACCCCTTAGAAGGAGGCCCCAGTGGGGAGCCCGACGCTCCTAAGGCTGCTTGGGAGTCCCCAGTTTTCCATTCGCTGACACGTCGCTTCTCTTATCCCACCACCGCCGCCCACTGCAAGGGCACTGCCTTGTCTGAATGAGGGTCTGAGGCGCTTTCTGCAGAGCCTGGTCCTTTCCCTTCAATGGTGATGTGGTCTTGCTGAGCCAGGCAACTAGGGGGCCCCTTCACTGTGGAGAAATTGGTGCTGCGGGAAAGGCAAGACTCACTCCCTTGCTGGAAACAAAGACCCCTTAGGAGAGAGAAATGTTCGTGGAATGAATGAATAAACAAGTTTGACCTACTGCTCTCTTCCTTATGGGGACGTGGGAGAAACTGGGCAGGGCACAAAGGAAAGGGCTGGGTGTGATCACAATTTTTGCTTTCAATATTTTACTGAGGAAATCTGTACAACTGCCTATTTCCGCCGCACATGAGGCTTCGGGTGCCCTCGCCTGCACCAGTGTTTATGATTGACAAGGGAAGGCCCGATTTCCCCCATCACACTCCTGTGTTCCCTACCCCAAACCTTCTACTCCGCTCAGGCCAGTCTTAAATAATAGCCATTCTTGCTTTGGTGGCCAACCTCCTCTCACCCCCTTAAATGCCGCTATCACACAAGGCTTAGCCTTTGAGCCACAGGAAAGCACCCCGCATGCCCCGTAGCGTCCCTCCCTACTCGCCCTCTTTTTGCAGGTACTATTTTCTAAAACAATATGGTGATGGACTTTTAAAAACCCATGCTGTCATGAACTCAAAATCATTCCAGACTATTTGTAGTATCATCTGCCCAAAGAGATTGTGAACTCCCCAAGGGCAGGTTTGGAATTTGACACACAATTAGGGCTGAAAAAACTATCTTCCTTCCACATACATTCCCCAGTAAAATCAATCAACTCTTCTTGTCACAACAATCTTGGTAGTGGTAGGTTAGAGAGGAGTCCCAGGAAGTTTCTTTAGATCAGGTTTCAACTGATAACAATCAAAAGGTCTTAAACCACTTTTTCATTCCAGATGAATCTCTGGTGTTTCCTCTGCCCAGTTAGAGGTGCTAAGGAGGCCCTCAGGGTTGGTAGTTATGGGTGGCAAGTTGCACTATAAGTCCTTTGGACTTTTTGGTGGTTTGTATTGCAACACATATTTAGGAGAAGCACAATACCTGTACAGCTGAGGGCAAAGTGGTGGGAGGGGCAGGGGGGCGCTGCAATATTGATCTGGTCTCTAGGATCAGAACTTGAACAGTAAATGACAAAAAAAGAAGGGGGGGGTAAAATTCCATGTTTTTATTGACAGTTTGATTTGTCTTTTCGAGGGCCAAACTGAGGCACGCCTGCTAACTCCATCAGGCTTCCAGCTGAGGCCTGATGTGCTCTGAGCAATTGCTGTTATGCTTTGGGCTTGAATGCATTGGACACAGTGTCCTCATTCAACTTCTGGGAAACGATATTGCCAAATACCTATTGGTCATAATTTTGTTTGATTTCTAAGCTACTGTTCTAGAAGAGCGGCATTTTTTAAACTTTCAGAATGGGACCAAGTGGTGGATAGTGATGAATTCAGTGGATTACTACTAGCTTTTTATTTCCTTCAATGCAGTAGAACAGAATACTTTTTTAAAAAATCAGTATGCCATATGTACTATTATTCTGCAAATCTTTTATCTTGATTATGCGTGTATATATATGTGTGTATATATATACATATGCATATATTTGTGGTTATCTGTGTGTTCATATATATGTGTGTGTGTGTGTGTGTATTATGAGTTGTGATGTAAAACAGGTCCCCAACCCCTGGGCAGCAGACTGGTACCAGTCTGAAGCCTGTTAGGAACTGGGCTGCACAGCAGGAGATGAGCGGCAATTGAGCAGCATTCGGCCTGATCGGGGTGGCTTTAGATTCTCATAGGGGCACAAATCCTATTGAGAACTGCACATGTGAGGGATCTAGGTTGCATACTTCTTATGAGAATCTAACTAATGCCTGACAGTCTGAGTTGGGACAGTTTCATCCTGAAACCATCTCCAACTTTTTGTGGAAAAATTGTCTTCCACAAGACCGGTCGCTGGTGCCAAAAGGTTGGGGACTGCTGATGTAAAATGTATTTCTTGCTGCGGGTTGGGGTATCAAAGAATTTTGAAAGCTACTGAAAGTGAATTTTATTTCCTATCCTAAGACAGAAAAACGGTCACAAATATCAGTTATCAATTCTGGATTTTCAGGAATGCATTGTCAGGATGCCGTGTTAGAACTATTTATTGAAGGTAGGTGGCTATCTTCTGTACAATTTTTTGACCACTATTTCCTGATAAAATAGAGTGGTTCTGTTTCCTGGAAGCTGTCATTGGTTGACATTTTCTACTTGTCGTTAAACAACTGGTTTTTAAGATGACCCTCAAAATTCTATTTATCCAGCACTACAATTTGCCAAAAATAGGCTTACACATAAAATTTGCTTCTATCTACCCTCCATTTCCAACTGTATAGTTTCATTTGCAGATTAGCTTCTATGGCTTTCTTTGATCTGGCCCAGTCTATATTTCCAATCTTATTTTCCATTATTCCTTGTGGTAGGCAGCTTCTAGGATAGGCCCCAATAAATCACCACCTGCTGGTATTCATACATATTTGTAATCTCCTCTCCTTGAATATGGGCTGGACCTAGTAATGCACTTCTATCTGGCAAAAGTGATAGCATGTCACTTCTGAGGCTAGGTTACAAAAAGACAGGCCGGGCGTGGTGGCTCATGCCTGTAATCCCAGCACTTTGGGAGGCTGAGGAAGGTGGATCACCTGAGGTCAGGAGTTGGAGACCAGCCTGACCAACATGACGAAACCCCGTCTCTACTAAAAATACAAAAATTAGCTGGACGTGGTGGTGCATGCCTGTAATCCCAGCTACTCGGGAGGCTGAGGCAGGAGAATGGCTCGAATCTAGGAGGCGGAGATTGTGGTGAGCCGAGATCACGCCATTGCACTCCAGCCTGGGCAACAATAGCGAAACTCTGTCTCAAAAGAAAGAAAAGACTGTGGCTTCTATCTTGTTCTCTTGTTCACTTCCTCTGGCTCTCTTCTTCATTTGCTTTGAAGCAAACAAGCTGCCATCTTGTGAGCTGTTCTATGGAGAGACCCATATGTCAAGGAACGGATGTTTCTGGCAACTACCAGGTAGAACCTGTGGCCTGCCAACAGTCATTTGAGTAAGTGTGGAAGTAGATTCTGCCCATTTGAACCTTGAGATGAATGTAGTCCCAGCTAATACCTTAGCCAGAGGACCAGATAAGCTCAGCCCAGATGTTTGACCCACAGAAACAAGTGATAATAAATGTTTATTGTTTTAAGCCACTACAGTTTGGCACATTTTATTACTCAGCAATAGATGGTTATCCCTTCACATATATATTCCCCTTCACATACCCTATGCTTTTGCCAATATATGTTGCTCAGTGTTCTCAATATAAACTGTTTTCCATTTAAACCATTTCTACTACTTGGAATGTTCTTCATACCTCCTCTTCCCTGCCACTATATATTTAAATTATATCTTTCCTATCAACTCCTCTTTATTTGGTGATCCCATTTGAAACTGATTTCACTTTACTTTCAACTTAGTGCCTTATAAATATCTTTTTTTTTTTTTTTTTTTTTTTGATGACACTTCTTTTTCTGTTGTCTACATACTAGATTTGATGTTAGTGTCTTTTCAGGGCAGTCTCTTGCTAATCACGTCCAGTCTAGTTACTTGTAAAAATAAGGCACTTTTTGAATATGTAAATGAATTAAATACTTTTTTCTTTATAGTACTGATCACCACCTGAAATTATGTTAAATATATTCATTTATTTACTTTTTAATTGTTTGTCTCCCTCACTAGAACATAAGCGCACAAGGGCCGGGATTTAATCAGCTTTGATCACTGCTAGTTCCAGCACCTGAAGTAGTGCCTGACAATACATTTGCTGAATGAATAAATGCAAGGTAAATAGTTTTGAGTTTCTCAAGAACCAGGAGAAACCTATTATATGTTATGTCTAAAGGGCATATATCCTATCCCTTACTTCCTAAAGCAGAACTCTTGATTTCTCTATCAAAACTATTTTTCCTTGAACCTTTCCGAGTTAGAATAACACCATGATTCATAAGGGAGCTCAGGCCCCAAACCAAGGAACCATCCTGAGTCCTCCTTTTCCTCAAATAACCAACCCATCAGCAAGTCATGAGGGCTCTGCCTCCACATATATTCAGAATTCTGTTACTTCTCACCATCTGCATTGCTCTGGCCCTAGTGGGACTA